AGCTTGTAACACTCCAAAGAGAAAGGAAAACTTGAAATCGCATCATATGACCCGTTTAAATCGACACACATGAGTGACTGCGCATTTCATTTTTGCTCTGTCCTTCTACCTATTTCACTTCCGCTCCCTCCATCCTGGATACTCCACAATATAATGCTGCTCTCTGATGACGCTGCCACCATCTTGTCTTTATCTCCATGTGGGCCGCCTACAACTTTTGCATTGAGGGCCACCCGCTCGATGGCCCAATCCAGGTAAAGGCTGGAAAACACCTGCTGCCAGCCGGATGATTCCTTTATCCTAAAGAACAATCCCAGTCTGGTGAGTATAACCCTTATTATTTTCAATTTCAAAGTCATGTGGTCTGTAGCTTTACCTGTAGCAAATGACAAAATGTGCATAAGCAGCTACAATCCAGTTATGATGGCCAGCGACAATCAGCACCTTCCTAGGGTCCACTGGTGATCCTATTGTAATATAAAAAAAAATCCAAAACAATACCTCAGTATGTTGATACACAAGTAGGCTGAAATGTTGACGGTAGCCATTGACTTCTGTAGTATGAAAAAAAAAGTCAATGGTTACGGTCAACTGTTAACTCATATGAAACTCATATGGGTTTGGAACAACTTGAGGATGATAAACAGATTTTCAATGACAGAATTTTCATTTTTGTGTGAACTATCCCTTTAAAAATCTAAATTAGTATTATAAACTGTCTGTTTGGTTAAAAAACAATCATGACTCATCAAAGAAAGTAATTAGCATAAAAGCATTTACTTCAGTGAACCCTGTAATATTGTAGCAGAATTTTACTGAATATATAATTAAAAACAAGTATTAATGTTTCAAATTTATGCAAAAACACAAACAAAACAAAAAACATAGTAATAATATGATAATACAACAACAAGCTAATTTTGTGTTGTTGTTTTTTTTTCATTTTATTTGGTTTTATTTTTTTTATCTACTGGCTGTTGCCTGTTATTAGTAGCTACTGTCACTTTCTTTTTGTACCATTACAACAAATCCTATGCAAACACATATTTCAATGTTTTTTTTCCCTGTTCTGTAAATTTTTATACAATTATTATCCAAATTCTCTGTGATGCTGGCTAAGTACATTTTGCCCTGTGATATATAAATGCACCAAAATGCAATAAAATGGCTAAAAGGAAGGCCTGTCCATTAACTTGTTTTCTCCATCTCTTTCATCATTCTTCTCACATGACTTCGCTGGGCACATAGGATATAAAAGGCCTTTTAAGATGACCTCACCCTGCCTACTGCACTACTGCTTGTAAGGGGAATACTTTGTCTTCATGGCACCCCACCCCCCTCCCCTCCGCATGCCCATACCAGAATGAGCACATGCTGTTCTCCAGTTTGCATTGAGACAGCTACAGCCAGCCCAGTTCTAATGTTCTCTGTACTCTCTACTGCTGCATCTAATACAGCTTTCAAAATCCACAATACATTAATGAAAGTATTACATAACATGGTTTATTAACACTGTTAACACAAACCAAGAATATATGAGATCATATTTATAGTCAGTGGCAATTGTCGTTTTTTTTTCTTGTTTAATCTTGTTTCAAGTATTTTAGTTTTGGTAGTTTTTTTTTTTCTTTTTCCCCCACAACATCTTTAAACATCTCAGTTTCAGTGTAACCCCAGTGGTCACTGCACGATTTTTACTCACCCAGTCTTTGAGGTCCATCTGCCCCAGATGGTCCAGGGAGAGAAGACTGAGGGCAAGAATGAGGGTAACCCCCCTCTGCGCCACTGGGGCCTGAGCGTTCCTCTGGACCTGCAACAGCTGCACCCTGCCCTCCGGCACTGCTCCGCGCTGGGAGAGCTGAAGGACAAAAATACCAGCCTCATCCTGATGTGTTATATTTAGCAAAGAGGATGAAAAGGTGACTGTTTTTTCTCTATCTTCCACAGATCTACTCTCAACCTACCTGGTGGAGGAAGGTAGCCATGAAACAACACACTTCCACATGACGATCGCTCCAGTTCTTCACAAAGCAGTAAGCGTCGGACTAACCATATCAGTGACAAATAGAAATGCAAGGTGAGAATTATACATGCATAAATTAGGTGCTGCACCTAATTCAGTCAAATTTCTTTTTCTATTACATACCTAAGGGTGTAATACCATAGAACTCGGCTTCATGTCGCAAGATACTTATGTTAACCCCCCTATCAGAGAAAGCATGAATATTACACACATTAAACTATATATTTTTGGGATATGTAATGGATAACAAATAAGCATATGTTATGTCTCACCTCAAGTCCAATTCTTTAGTTCGAAGAAAGTTTAAAATGGGTGCAAATGCTGTTGGGTCTCTGTCAATAAATATCTTATAGAAAAAAAAAAGATCTCTTTCAGAGCTGGATACATTTCTAATTTGTTTGCTTCTGGAAAACTTTTTAATTATTTTTTAACAAAGAACCTACAAAACATGGTTATTCAGTATTCATTAAGTTTTTATTTTTTTATATATGTTTTCATTTATAAACACAATTAGGTAAAACTACTTTTCAGGATTTCAACTCACAGCTCCAGTTTCATCCCGTAGTGATGATATTCTTCCACTAAGTAAACTGGACACAAAACACATGGCCAGAGAAGAATGGATAGAGGTTTAGCAAATATGCATACAAAGAGGATAATTCTGGAAGATCTATAAAGTGTTTATATTATGAGTCACATTTTCCCTTTAAAGGGGTCATATGATGCGATTTCAATTTTTCCTTTCTCTTTGGAGTGTTACAAGCTCTTGGTGCATAAAGAAGATCTGTAAAGTTGCAAAGACTAAAGTCTCAAATCCAAAGAGATATTCTTTATAAAAGTTAAGAGTCAACCACGCCTACCTAAAACGGCTCGTTCTAACACGCCCCCACATGTCTACGTCACGATGTGGGAAGATTTGCATAACGCCGCCCAAATGTTCACGCAAAGAAAGAAGGCGTAACTTTTATTCTCGCAACCATAGACATAATAAATACCTAGACGCCTCATTGGCCGCTCGACCGCACGTCAACGTCGCCGCCATATTGGTGCAGGCAACTGTCATATCGGGACAGGCGAACACATACCTGACTCGTCGGCAGCTTGGGCATCTACAAACCATCACACAATAATAAAAACAGATCTCGGACCCCTTTAAATTTTCAGACCTATGTATGTAGCATACTGCAACTTTCAGAACTCAAAACTTCCTCCCAGTCAAAAAACAAAAGAGCAGAAAAACAACATGCTATGGTGCTTTTTCAGACAATCTTATCTTACCTTGAGAAGAAAGAGTCAGGAATCCATGTCAGAGTCTGCCTTGATGTGCTAAATCTGAAAATATGTAGATAAGATTTATGATACAATCACTTCTCATTTCTCTTTCACTCAGTGAGCTAGAATGATCTAAAATCCAGTTAACATTTATTGTTACAGTTAGAAGCGTTCATGTATTTTTAATATTTTTAATGCACAGTTTTATTATAGTAACCATGATATTTCGGGGGAAATTGTTACTTCTATTAGGGTATTTCTTTTGTTTATATATTTCTATTTAATTATGATGGTAGTTTAGGGGGTTTTGGATGTTATGATGACATCCTGTGGTCAAACGTGGAAGCTGGGGATGAAATAAGGAACTGAATAGACCCATTAACGCAATAATAGTTATGGTTAGGTTCAAGATGTGTAGTCTGAGCTCAAAATGATGTGCTTTATAGTTTAAGACATGGTTAGCGGACACACTGTGTACCGTTACATATCAACGCTGATTGCGTCACATCAAAGTCAAAATCCACTACTCGTTGACGTAGCCATTGATCTCAAATAAAACTGTTTTGACTTCGAATTCGTTTAAAGAATTCATGACGTCAGCATACCTCGTTCCTCCGACATTCAGCTGGATGATGTCACCCATTCCAGATGTTGAACTGTTCCCAATTCCAGCCATCCTCTAATTCCGTACAGTTATACACGCGATTTGATTATCCAGTTTGTGCATCGATCAAGCTGGAGTCCTCAAGATTCTCTTTAATCTTCCTCACGACCCAGCGAGCCCATAAATTATGCGCCACGAGAAGGACATATGAGATGAAACTGTTCGTACACAGTGTTCTCCATATTCAGAGCTTTAATAAACAACTCAAAACACGGCCTTCAACTATCAAAGGCCTTTTTCTGTAGCCTATAGGACTTGGGATCGCTACGTTCAGTGTTGTAGACGCCATAGAGCGATGCTAGAACGTTGTGGACTCATCAGAGCGTCAGCCAATCGAACGGCGTCATTCCTGACACAGGACGCAGACCCCGCCCAGTGTTCCAGTGTTCTGGGAGCGTGTCTTGAGGAGAAAGCTGTACTTCTCACATCTACAGTCTTAAAGGTGCACTCAGTATTTTTTTATTTTGTACTACTTACTAAGTTTTTACAAATAAAGAAATTAACAGCACTTAAAATATAATTATAAAAGGACATGTACAATAAAATACGAGATGAAGGCGTTTTAAATCTACTGGGAGCAGGTCGTCACTTATTAGTACCACGATCTTTCCATGACCAGCTGTCATGCAATTGACCACTAATAATAATTACCATAGTAATGTTTAGTGACTTAAATGTGTGCTCAAGGCGAGGTGAGGTGACTCAGTCCATGTAAAATAAAACTGATTTTATTAGGTTACCGGGAGTCTTCATCTCATGTAAGTGAACATGAAAACATGTTTCAAGTAGCCTATTTTTAATATGGGTAAAAACTAATTATTTTTTTTTTGTTCAAATTGCTGTAAGTAATTGGAATTGACCGTACAAATTATGCATAGTGTGCACTACAAACCTACTATGCATTACCAATATCAACTGCAAAAAAATTGTGTATTACAACCTGCAAAACTAGTATGCAACTACTAAAAACTGCTTATATTGACTTTCTACAGTAAAATAGACAGAAATTTGCACACACACCCAGGCACAAGTATTGACTGAAACATTTATTGCCAATGTTATTCGGGATTAAGGCATACATACGTCTTTCTTTAATTTTCTTCAGAATTTCTCACCCTGTTGTAGTAACACTGCAGTGACAGCACAGATGAGTTTTTTCTATCTGAACTTGTTCAAACAAGCAGACAAAAACACAAGGTATCGTGTTTGTAGGGAATAATGAAAGGAAGCTATTTCTGTTATTTCACAGGTTTCACTAAACTCTAAATGGTATGTATTAATTCTTCAACCAAATATCATTATGGATTTTACTACTTCCTTTGAATGTTGTACGCTTAATCCATATCTGTATCTCTGTCACAGTTTTAGCCTCTTGGGTATTTGATTGGCTTATGAAGTCATAAGAATAAACAACATTATCATCACAGAAACTTTAAAGCCTGCTAAAGTTTCATTAAGTGGTTGGACATCTCAGTCAGGTTATGAAGGTGATGTGAAAGGTGAAGAGCATGTATATGGTACAAGTGACTTATCAGGGCTGATGCAAATTAGAGTCTGGCCAAGAATTGCCATAAAATTCAAATTTGGAAGTATCTTAATTGATTTTAGTACACACAAATAACCATGCAAAATTTTTCTGGGAAGCAAGCTGGAGCATAAATAGAAGGAACAAATAGTCAGAATGGAATGCTTTACACTTGTGTGAACACAATTTATAAATAAAAATAATTTTGTAGTAAACAAAACTTGTTAATGTACAAATTAAATATTATGGTCATATTAAAAAGAAAAACTTATTTCATACTGAATACTTACACAAATGTAACAAAAACTTAATGCAATAGACTTGAAGTGGTTAAGCCACTGGAGTCTGGTCATATCCAAAATATTACCTTACTGCATATAACAAGACTAGGAAATGTCAAGTGCATGGAGTGTCACTAAAGCACAGTAATATTCTTCAGTTTAAATATAATATAAATGTGTGTTGGTAAGCTGCACTCATTTAAAATTAGCATAGTCCGAGTAGATGTCAACAAAATCTTGCACAACTCTGTAGCAGAAGTCATATTGTTCCTGAAAAGACAAATGGAAATACATTATATCATAATTCACACAGTCAAAAGCCAAAATATCTACTCATTGTCTATTATTTTATGATTATTACTATTTTTCATATTGTAATATAACAGTGAAGCCATCAGCTCTATGTGAACTATGCACAGTGTTTTGCATTCTTACCACAGTTTGGACCATATGTGGTCTCCGAGTGCGTAAACTCTTCACTGTCTGGAATACGTCCAGTAACCCCTCGGCTTTGACCCGCTCTAAGATGTTGCTGAGGGCAATGAAGGTTCCGGTCCGACCAGCACCAGCACTGATGTCACCAAAAAAAAAAAATCCAAAACATACTTTTATGATAGGTTTTAAAGACTTTATACAAAAAATTGCTGTTGAACAATATGAAAAAATGATTATAAAACAATATGGTGTGTGTGTGTGTGTGTGTGTGTGTGTGTGTGTGTGTGAAATGTGTAAGTGAGGGAGCGATTGAGACTGTATGTGTACCTGCAATGCACCACTATAGGGTTGTTTCCAGATTGTTGCTGTTGTTTCTGCACTGCAGCAATAATGTCAATCATTCCCTTTCCGTCTGATGGGATTCCAATCTCTGGCCAACCATGGAAGTGGAACTGTCTGACTAGACGAGTCTGCTTTTCCTGCAAACAGCTCAATTTAGCCTCAATTTGTGCAAAATAAAGGAAGCTCCTAAGTGAAGCGTGTGTTGGAGCATAAAACGGTCAAATTCACTGCACATTTAACTCACTGATGCATATGACAGCAGCATGTCTCGAATGCTGAAAGTCTCACAAAGCGTGTCTCTCTTCGTCTCCAGTACATAATCACCAAATGAAACGCTGCCCTCTGCTGGCCAGTAACGCATGCACTTCTCCTGGAGTGAGAGTTGTTGGAAAGGAAGTGAATGTCAATACTTAGGACATGGAATTGTGGAAGAGTAACTGCACATTTCGTTATGTTTATTAATATTAGTGCTGTCAAACGATTAATCGCGATTAATCACATCCAAAATAAACGTTTTTGTTTACATAATATATGTGGGTATACTTTGTTTATTTATTATGTATATATAAATACAAACACATGCATCCAACAGACAGATGTAAAAAGGTGGCAGAATCAATAACTTAAATTCACAATTACAATAACTTAAAGGCATCAAATGTCTTAATCAAAATCAACCTTGTAGACTTGAAAGCAACAGAAAAATTAACAAAACAGTATCAGAAACAGTGAAACTTTGGGGAAAAAAAAAAAATATATATATATATATATACATACAAAGCAAGTACTGAACAAATAGCATGTTCTTTGTTGTTTTTATCCTAAGCCCTTATTTATGTCAAGTGGCATGTGGTCTTATAATGATGATAATATAATATGTAAATATAGCCAATAGTTTTATTAATAATAGTAATATTTAGCTTTTTATGAAACATATACTTACATCTATGAAAGATGCATTAATGTAGTCTGTGAATTCTTGCCCTCTTTTCATTGATAATATTACCCTGTTGAAGTCATCTAGTAATAAGACAGGATATTGATTACATAAAGAAAGAAAGAAAGAAAGAAAGAAAGAAAGCACTGAAATGATAAATCTGTATCTATAAATATATATCCCTCTTCTCACATGGGATGATCTGCAGTACTCTGTTCTTTCTCATGTTGGTGGGCAGATTTCCGGTTCTCATGTTCTCCTTCATTATGCGGACATTAGTCAATTTCTAAGGAGATTCCAAACAAAACAATATGTTAAAAAAAATATTTATTTTTGTCATTGTATGTTCATAGTAAATCATGAGATCATTCCATACTCTTGCTTAGCAAATCCTGTAATGTGTGTAATGTGGTTCTCACTCTGAATTCTTCCCCCAGACCCACTCGGTCCATTTGTGTGTGTGTGTTGTGGAGTTTGTGGAGGTGGCCTTCCAGAGAAGCGATGTCTAACTCTGTGTCACCATACAGGTAATGCTCTAAAAGTGCCTGGTAAATGAACGAATACTGCATCTGTGGGCGAGAGAGAGGAAATCAGTGGCCAGTCACTGCTGAAATGAGTTGAATACAGAAGAGGGACTGCGGAAAGTCCTTTACTTCCGTTTGAATGAGCTGACAGCGCTGCTTTCTTATCCTGGACACAAAGCCGAACACGTCCACCCTCGCTTCAGCGTGCATCATATCCATCATCGCGTCAATCACAATGAACGTCCCAGTCCTGCCAACCCCAGCACTACACAGAAAGAAAATGAGTCATGAGATGTGAAGTAGGGCATGAAATGAGGGATAATGAGATAATGTAGTAAAAACTGCTGGGTCTTTCCATTTGAATTACTATTTTGGGCTAGATAATTATCTCAGTTCAATTGAACATGGGATCAATTTTATATTAACATTCATAATGCTGTGAATATAGCAGGTTTTTACCATACAGCATACCAGAAAAAGTTGGAGTTGGCCATTTCACTGCAATAAGGGACTTTTCACACTTTAACAAGTGGGCAAGTCTGTGGTTCTGGCTGAGGTGTTAACAATCCCACATGAGGGGGGCGTTTAACAGCTGAGCCTCAAGACATCTGCGTTGGTGGTTGTTTCTGCATACTTTGCATTCCAGACTGTTTGTTATAGCTGAAATGTTCACGGTTTCAACTGTTTCGCCCAATAAATAGCACTTAACTCATTAGCATGCACGGGTGCATCCCTAGAGATCTAATAGACTGTAGTATGTAACACATTTCTATTATATACTGTACATTCAATTTCATAGGGGCCATTCACACAGAACATGTTTTTGCTTTGAAACAAGTGAGACACAGGCAGTGGAATGGGGAAAACAAAAGGTCTCAAGACGCCTTTTTTTTTTTTTAAGTTGTGCTGCATTTTTAGAAAACTGTGTAATTTACATTTATTAATTTAGCAGACGCTTTTATCCAAAGCGACTTACAAATGAGGACAATGGAAGCAATCAAAATCAACAAAAGAGCAATGATATGCAAGTGCTATAACAAGTCTCAGTTAGCCTAATGCAGTACACGTAGCAAGGTTTTTTTTTTATAATAAAAAGAAAACAGAAAAAGAATATAGCAAGCTAGTGTTAGAGGCCTTTTTTTTTGCTTTTGTTAATTGTATAATAAATAAAAAGAAAACAAATAGATAGAATGCAAAAAGATTAGAAGAAAAAAGATTAGAGAAGCTAGTGTTAGTTTTTTTGTTTGTTTTTAAAGAAAACAAGCAGTTAGTAAATGAATAGAGTGCAAGTCTAAAAGGGGCAAGTTTTTTTTTTTTAAGAATAGATTTAGAATAGAGAGTGCTAGAGTTAGAGGGTCAAATAAAGATGGAAGAGATGTGTTTTTAGCCGATTCTTGAAGATGCTCGGATTGAGTCATGCGCGGGATGTTGCAAAAGACACAAAATAATTAAACGCGTCCATCTAACGTATTTACAGTATATAGAAAAACAATGGAAAAGTAGCACTGTGGAATGGAAATACGCATTCTCTGTGAATGACCCCTTAGTCTGTAGGTGAATATATTTTAAGAATAGCCCGCAGTCTTACCTACAGTGCACTATAATTGGTCCAGCATGGGCAGGGTTGACAGTCTTGACTTTCTTGAGGAACTTAAGCATGCCAATAGGGGAAAGGGGTACACCAAAATCAGGCCAGCTGGTGAAATGCAGCTGAGTGACCAACCTTGGAGGTCTGCAGCCATCAGCAGCATGCTGCAAAATCACACCAGCTTGCATAAGTAAAAAAAAACGTATAAATTTATATTATACGAGCAAATACTGCCTGGCTGGTTCCACAAGGGTGTAAAAAATTCTTGGTTACTAAATTACAGGCCTGTCAAGAGAATTAGTGTATTAGTATGTCAGTATATTATGCAGAACATTTGATTACTGATGATGTAATATTTCTAAGGGAAATGACCACTCACATGCTGCACACAGAACTTCCTGATTGTGTAGTCCACCAACACTGTGACATCTTCCATTGCCACCCTCACACAGCCATAGATCCAGCAGCCCTGCTCAGGCCAGTACTGATAGCACTTTTCCTGCATTTCACACAGACATCACACATATTTAACCAAATACTTGATTACTGCAATTTATTAGTAGTGTTTTGTATTTCTTTTTTTTATATTGTCCACTTTTTTTTATAACTTTCTGCAACTATTTACATGTTAAACTCTTACAAACTTGTGATGTCTCCTCTTACCTCTTTTCTCTCTCTTGTGTTGGTCAACATGACTATAGTGGCAGATTTATGCTCCCAAACCATCCTCCAGAAATCTCCCACTGTCTCTGGTTTTGGGCCTGAAAATAAGACAAAAATATTGAAAATCAAAACATAGATGAATTAAAGGTCATTTGAGGTTAGAATGTTTACTTTTGATTGATTCATTTACCTTCTTAATGTTTATTACAAATGGGAAGAGGGAAAATATTTGCGCATACCTTGAGCCGCAATAAATTTGTTTTTTTCTCTGTAGCCCTATAGGAAAGATCAATGAATCAATCCTGAGACTCAGAAAAGTACATTCATGTGCAATGTCAAGATATAAGGCATTATAGGCATTATACAATGTATTATTTATAAGGTATTGAAGTCTTATAACAATATGCATACTGTATTAGATCACAGGAATTAAAGGGATAGTTCACCCATAAATGAAAATGTTGTCATTAATTACTCACCCTCGTGTCATTCTAAACCATGACCTTCGTTCATCTTCAGAACACAAATTAAGATATTTTTTATGAAATCCGAGAGCTTTCTGACCCTGCATAGACAGCAATGTAATTACCACGTTCAAGGCCCAGAAAGGTAGCAAGGACATCATTAAAATAGTCTATGTGACATCAGTGTTTCAATCGTAATTTTATGAAGCTACGAGAATACTGTTTGTGTGCAAAGTAGGGGTTGAACGTCTTCTGATTTTTTAAAGTCGACTTTTATGTGATGAAAGTCGAGTCACGGCGATTAATTTACCTGTACAATAAGCTGTTTAAAACGTGCATTCTCCCGTTCAATTTCGAACATCCAGTAATATAATCACACGTCTTGTGGAGCGCTTTCAGAGTATGCATTTATTTGTTATTTGAACTGTTTGGAAACGGAGCGTAAATGTGGAAGTCCTTCAAAGATTTCTTATCCTGTTGCGCCCTCTATAGGACCAGCGACTAGTCGACGTCAAGCTTAAAGCGTCATGGCAGAGCATTGAAGTTGATTGGTCGATTAGTCTGTGCAACCCCTAGTGCAAAGAAAACAACAATTTAAAGAATAGTCGCATGGACTATTTTAACAATGTCCTTACTATGTTTCTGGGCCTTGAAATGTGGCAGTTGCATTGCTGTCTATGCAGAGTCAGAAAGCTCTCGGATTTCATCAAAAATATCTTAATTTGTGTTCTGAAGATGAACGAATGTCTTACGAGGTTGAGTAATTAATGACAGAATTTCCATTTTTGTGTAAACTATCCCTTTAATTCCTACTTCTTTTTTTTTCAAAAGCATGGAGAAAGTACTCACATTTATATAAGAGGCATTTATGTAATCAGAGGCCATATAGCCATCTATGTGTGAAAGCAGCACTCTTGAGTGGTCATCTGAGAATGAAATGAAGAGATGTGTTTTATTAAACTCTAAGGACCAACTTCCTCCATTCAAATCCTAACAATCACGATTACAAAATTATACTAAACCTAAAGGACACAACACAAGCTCTTCCACAGTGTTTGGAAAGTTTGCAAGTGTGAGGAACACATACAGGGCAGAATATTGGGATATCTGTTCTTTTCTCTGTTCTCCTCTCTGCTCGCCTCTTCAAAGGTACCACAGCCAAAACCGCAAGGCAAAGACTTTAAAAGAGAAGCAGCAGAAGAAAGAAACATTATGTGAGTATAAGAAAACAAAATGAGTTAGTGTGCATGCGGAGAATGATAAAGTTTGTGTGTGTCTAAACTCTTACATTAAATTCCTCTCTGAACAGTTTGCCATCATCTGCCATGCGTAGGCGAAACTCTTCCTCCAGGGCGTCCAGAGGGATGGGGAAATAACGCTTTGATGGAGAGGGTGATCTGGGGAGGAGCACCACCGTTTGTTCTGACAGAGAGAGAAGAAGAAAGACATACAGGCTGAAAGAGAGACATTCTTCTCCTGATTCTGTTTTATATCTCTCAAGCAGATGCCAAGTTCTAAAAGCTTTGTTCTGAAAATATAGGCTTGATACAAATAGACAAAATGGCAGCAAAAAATCTAATCAAAACTTACCTTGATCTTCCAAAAAGCCATTTGGCAACTTTTTGTCAACCGAGGCGACAAGATCCTTCCTTTGCTCTCTAAACCTGAGAGATTTTGAAGTAAGACATTTATAGAGAGATAAAACAAAACAAAAAGTAAAAAATGACAAAGTTCTCAATACACACCAAAATCTAAAGTTCTTTCTCATGGGAGATTGTTTAGTTGTCTGATTCCTCAGAGCAGCTGAGAGAGAATGACTCGCTGACACACCATCACAACTGCTTTCACATTTCACTACACATGCAGCTGCTGCTGGAGCAGCTTGGCAGGGTCATAAACAGGCACGCGCACACACACACACATACTCTTAAAGGTGAAGTGTGCTATTTTATTATGTTAAACTAATTTATTCTCTCTCTGCTGAAAAGGCAGCAACAACTGTAACTAAGCCTTTTGTAGGCTGATTCCCTGAAAAAGTATCAACACTGTGCCTCTATGGCTCTATCTTTCAAAACATGGCTCTGTTTGTTTAATCGCAACCAATGGTGTGCATTTGGAGTGAAGCTATCTGTTGGACTGACCAATGGTGGACAGGGGGAGTGTCAGGAAACCTATTTGAAAACCTGTGGCCGGTTACATCAATGATGCAACGCAATGCGTAAAAAGACAGTATAAGTCATTATAATCAGTAATTATGTCCCCACTGGATGCAACAAATGCCTCGTTTGTAATGGGTTTTAATGTTTTTGTCTCATCGCTCCGGCCAGACAACGGCATCAACAGTATGGTGAGGGGCGTAACATTTCCGTCACACGCTTGAGGTATTCAGCCAATCACAACGCACTGGATAGCTGGCCAATCACAGCACACCTCGCTTTTCAGACCGATGAGCTTTGTAAAAATCGGCGCGTTTCAAAAAGGCGGGGCATAGAGGAGAAACAATAATGTACAGTATGTGGAAAATAATGTGTTTTTTTTTACTTTAAACCACATAAACACATTTCATTACACCAAATACACAAAATAATGTTCTTTTTAGCAGCATCATATGACCCCTTTAACATAGAGATTATGCAGCTAGCCCCTGCAATTATTTTTGCAGTTATATCTGGAGGCCCAGAAATTACACACTTCATCTTTAACAAACAATGTGATATAATATAATGTATTATAAATTACATGCTTGAGTATTTCATATCTAGGAAATGGTACAAGATAAAGACTAACATGTACTGTACATTTATGTTCTTGGCAAAAAAGAATGTAACCAAATATTCAAGATTGAGGTATTAAATTATTTGCACTATATTTGCAAATAATTTTGTAATGTTGGATACAAGTAATGTTAGAAAGATGAGAACACTTGACAGGAAGAGTAGGCTACTGTTCAAAACTGTGGGGCTGGTAACATTTTTTTGGTTTGTTTTTGAAAGAAGTCCTTTATGCTCACAAAGGCTGCATTTGTTTAATCAAAAATACAGGAAAAGCAGTAATATTGTGAAATATTATTACAGTTTAAAATATTTGTTTTTGATTTTATTATATTTTAAAATGTAATTCATTCCTGTAATAGCAAAGCTGAGTTTTCATCTATTACTCCAGACTTCAGTGTCAAATGATCCTTTAGAAAGCAATATAATATGCTGATTTAGTGCTTAAGAGAAACATTTCTTATTGATGTTCTGCTTAATATTCTTGTGGTCTATATTACAGGATAGGTTTGAAACTAAGGTCATTTGCACTTCACTTACAACTATAGAAGAACACTAGAGGGGAACAAGTGTTAGTTCTGCAGGTAGGAACAGTGAGGGGTGAGAATTTTTGTAGGTACTACAGACAACATGTGGAGGAGCCCTAGAGAAAGTGAATCTATTAGAGGTATGATTATCATTTCATTTGAAACTGCTGAGTTGATGTTATGATAATAAGGGAAGCTTTGGATAAAGAAATTTCTGGCCTGGACAAATGAGCAATTTTCATGTAGCGAGAACAGGAAGTTTGATGCCTATCAATAGATATTTGTACAGGCATAGTTGGCCTGAGAGGTTTAATAAAGGAATGGAATTACAGCAGTTGGCAACACTGTAGGCCAGACTTATAAATGCCTAGAGCTTGAGTACAGTGGGGGTCAAAAGAAGGGCTGTTCACTCATATATATTTCATTGTATCTCTGCATATAATGTATAATGTGTTATTTAGAATAGAATGTTTTTGGGGTATGTGTGTTATCTTACCTCAGAATGTAGGCGATGAGGAGAAGAAAGATGACAAGCAGGAGAGAGGTGACGAGGCCTGAGGCTAAGACATGTGAGCCTTGAGGCGCAGGAGACTCTGAACAAAGAGAAAGACAATGGAAGTGAGTGAAGTAAGATTCTCCACAGGCTTTTCAGCAGGCCCAGATGGAATATGCAAGCTTTATTCAAGGATGAAAATGAATGGAATTCTGTGGAATGGATTTAAACTGGATAAAATTGGATATGAAAGCATTTTCATATTTTAAAATGTGAAACGTTCCAATTCCAGACATTCCAATCCTATGGAAATTCCAGTTCTGGGAACAGATTACGTGTCGACATGTTTCTAAATAATTTTAAGTGGAAAAACACATATCGGAATATGATATACCTGTGGTCAGGTTTCCATGAGAGGAACTGTTTGAAATGAGAGCTGCTGAAACTAGAAACAGGACCATCATGGCTGCACATAAGAAGAGAAAACAACAAACAACTATTTGAGTGTCCTGGTAATAGATTAAATAACTGATAACTAACTTTATTTGAAAATCTGCATTTTCCTTATGATTAAAGGGATAGTTCACCCAAAATGGAAATTTTGTCATTAATTACTCACCCTCATGTCACATTTTTCATCAAAAATATCTTAATTTATGTTCCGAAGAAGAACAAAGGTTTGGAACGACATGAGTGTGAGTAAATAAAGACAGAATTTTTTGAATTTTTGGGTGAACTATCCCTTTAAGAATTTATAATTCAGTACTATTCAGAACAAATTACTTTTTTTGACAAAATTCTGCAGAACTAAGATACACTTAGATGTGCAAAGGCTTCACAAGAGATTCAATTAACCTATATTAAATCCATCAATCTTTTTCTCATGCCATTCAGTAAGAATCTTCCCCCTACATGAGCAAATCTAAAATTAATTTCAATTAATGGTCCAAAGAGTTGTGGCCTCTGGAGATACGGCACCATCTACCGCACACAACCAGCAGCAACTGAGAAAAGTAGGACAAGACTTTCTACTCCGGATATCATCGCACTTTTATATCTAAAAAGGTATTGTGTGTAAATTCAGCCCAACAATGATCATTTCTATGTGATGTTCAGTATATAATAAACTTAATATTGAATACAGTGGGGTACAAAAGACATAATGTGATTTGAAAACGTAAAAATGTAAAAGAAAATAATATTGTTGAAAGAATAAGAAGTATTTCAGATTCTACTTTATTTTTAGGACAATAATCAAATTTGTGACATTGATCATGTGAAATTTGTATAAAGGGTCAGCTGTTCAAGTGTATTTTCACTTGTGGTCTCAAACATTTAGACCCCACTTTATTTTTAAATGCCTTCCCAAATGACTAAGACATTTTTAAAATGCCTTAAATTAATAATTGAAATATGCAATTAGAAATGAATGTGGCTTGGTTTATAAGTGAGTGGTAATAAGACAACTGCATATGTAGATGTCCAGCAAATCACCCAACACCGATATATGATTGATCCCCTGTAACTTTTTCAATGCCACTGAAGAGAGATTTCACATATTAATCCTTTCAAAAGCTGGAACAGAAAATCTAGCTTCCTCCAAACGTTTATGAACTCTGTCTATAGAGATTAAAAAAGAAAACATGAAGGATTAATGCAGCCTTACACACAAGCATACTCACAAATGTGAAATATGTCTCACTCCGAGGCAACTTCTCAGTCCATAGCTTTCAAGAGAGGCGACATTAATTATTATGATACTTTTTCAGAAGGTCTCCAGGAGTCATGATATCTGTGAAGGCACTTCTGTCTTTCAATAATATATGAGTGCAGGTTTTTTCATTGTCCTCTCCGGGTGGGCTATCCTTAGATAGCCACTGCCTGCAAAGAACAAGGAGTAAGGATACATTAGGAGAGGGAATTGTCTTTTTTTTTTTTAAACCTCATAAAATGTGTAAGACAGGCAGTGGCAGAGGGGGTTGTGGAAAGAGAGAGAAGCAAAAAGATCCACTTTAAATCTCTCCTTTAGAATTGTGCCAGTTGATTTGTCACCCAAAAATCAGTTTGAGAAGATCTACTCCTGTTGGAAAACTGCCAATCTGTAGTCAAGCATGCATGGCTAACCTTATCTATACACCTTGTAATGTAGACTATCAGAGTCTGATATATTCAGCATTGTCTCTACAGCAGCAAATAATAAGCATTTCATATCATACCACAGTAAACTAATTTATATTTTATTATTTTGTATTTGTATTTTTTTTTACACTTGTTTATTTTATTTATTTTTTTATAAATCTGAGATTAAGAAATAAAGCATTTTAAAAGAATGCAAAAGCTCTGACCATTATGGGCAAGGAGGAGAAGCGTCCCACCCATAAAAATTTTAGCAACAACCCTGGTCATAATATTCTGTGGTAAACTGGGTCAGTCACTTTTGGTCATCTCAGGGCCCTGACCGGATCACATGAATGCAAATCAAATCAAGAACATTGTCAATTAAAACCAAGTGACGGTTACTCAGGCTCTAACAGCACTGAAAGCCAACATTATTTTTACATGTACCATTATTGTGAATAATGACAGTGTCTAGCCATAATGCGTATACATTAAATAAAGGTTCAATCTTATCCATTAAGTCGACTTTTACTCATTTCTGGATGGCCATCAATTTTCATTTAGCTAAATAGAATATGTGCATATCATGAAACCTTTATTTGAGACATGCAACCATTCTTTATTTTTTCATGGTCTTCCTATGAGCTGACTGTGGATTGGCACTGCTCAGTCAACACAGAGGCTTCCATAACTGGCAGTCTGGAAGCGGTTGTTAATGTATGAGTTAATGGCCTTCATGACAAATTCTCATGAAAAAATCATGCAGACAACACCAAATGAAACAGTCCCCCGAAAGATGAAACAACATACCGACACACTACAAGGAACAAGCAGCATCTCAAGCAGTAAAACCTGATCTGAATGTCAATGCATGCTGTGACCTTGAGAAATGCATGTTGCTGCGCTCTGCAGATCTTTCATATGGAAATTGAATGCATATTGTTGGTGCTTAATAGTTTGAATAAAGAACAATGTGAGAGAGCACCACTAATGAATTAAGACAGGAGGAAGTGCCTGTAACCTTTATATAATCCAGCCTCTGCTTTTCTTTGTTAGCATTATGTATGTATGTATGTATTTTACATAAATCTCAGACACACATTTTCCCACTCATTCGCAGAGGAAAACAAAACACACTTTTCTGTCTCTAAGAGATGCAATAAGCTCCCCATCAACCACTAACTAGAACCTTTGAGTACAAAACAGGAAGATATTTTAGCTTTCAAATCCAATAGACTTCCTGTGTTAATGGGGGGCTTTAGATCTATAGCCAGGATGTTGCCTCCCGTTACTCCCTTTTACTGATTGTTGCTTATAGTTCATTAAGGCTTTTTGCTTTTCAAGACAGTCCAAAATAACATCCTATTCGAATAGTGTTACAGTTTTCCAAAACTACAGCCAGAATCTCTCAGTGTATAATTTTTGTGTCACTAGCGCATTCAGAGCACATTCTGGAAATCAAAGTGTTCGTTTTCATTCATGATATTAATTAATAAACTCTCTGAGCAAAAATTAGTGTAGTGTAGACATTAGTGTAGGTCCAAGTAACCATGTAGTCTCTTCAAACACAGGAAACAGATTGGATGGAGGTGTTGGAGAGATGCTGACCAGCACACAGAAGGCTGACTCTGCACTATAACTGACCTCTATGCAAGAACGTGACTACCAGCGTTTATTTTCAAGATGCATTTAATGCAGAACAAATGCAAATGCTGATGCATAGTAAAAAGTCTCTTCCATAAGCTATGAGAGCTTCTACTTCTGTAAATTTCTTATGTGCATTACCAGTCTATGACTTATAGTCTATAAATTTTCTATCTAAAATTCACTTAACCTTCACAAATGTGGTTTGCCACATCAGTAATGGATAACTCCTAAACCGATATAGACCGAAAATCCATAATCTTGGCTGAATCTCTAGAAGCAAAATGATTTGTAACAACTTCACATTACTCACATGCAATCGAATGTCCTATAATAAGATTAAATCGATGAGAGACCTGAAACAAAATAATCACTTTAGTGGAAAAGGTCAGAGGTATTTGTTTCTTGTGAAATATCTGGAATTCACATTACGGAACAAGAACAGATAATGAATCAGATTCCAGTAAGTAATTTACAGTAAATCTGCCATTTCATTTATACTGACCTCTTGGCCTTGTCAGCTACGAGGGTCTTAAAACCGAAGTGTTTACCAACATCTTAAGCTTTCAGATTAGAGTGCTGTGCACAAGTAATTATGAAATTAATCTCCATTTAAGCGCATGTCGCTTTAATCCTGCCGGCTGTGCTCTCTCTCTCTCTACCAAAAACAAGGTCACATCACACCATTGTTATACATATTACATAAACTTCAGGAAAATGCATCTATGAGATATGCTAATATTATTAAATCCATTTTCCTAAACATTTATTCATCGCAATAATAGGATTCAAATACACAGTATGCTTTCTATGGAATGCTTTTGAGACTTAAAACAGCTTTGCTTTAATCTCTGAGAGATAAAAAGGCTAAAAGCTGGAAAATATTCAAATGCAAGAGAGGGATGGAAAGATTTGTGACTTAAGATGTTTGCAAAAATGGTTATCAATGAATAATCCGGACTTTGGAAAACTATTATTCTAGTGGATGTGTGCGGTTTAATATAGCCTGCAGATCACAGTCATTCTCAGCTGGTGGGTAGTGACCCGAAAATGGATTGCAGGTCTATTTTGATAGGGTCTTGAGTGCAAAATGAATGAGGAATGTTGTTTAAATCAAAGGCTATTCTGTTAAAACTATTGCAATTTTTGAAATGCAGAGAAAACTATTTAAAACAAATTTCTATTTGTTTTTTGTTAAGTTTGTGATGTTTGTAGTAGTATTAATACATTTTAATGTTTGATTATGAAGATATTTTTGTTTGCTTTAGTATGTGTAGTGCAGTGGGTCACCACATGATAATAGTAAATCTGGGTCCTGGAGCAAAAGTACAGTATAAAAGACAAAGAGTACATTATAAAAAGTCTAGTTGTGTACTATTTCTACTTGACCTTATCCTTAAAAGTAGTATCTTAATGGAATCTGGTTGATTCTGTTATATTAAATAATATTTTTGACTTGAATACAATCTGTTCATTTACATGTTTTCACATCTAAACATCTTTTACAGTGGCTCTAAAGTATTTGTGGCAAGAATGGAAATGAGTATACCAATGGCATCACCCTCTGCCTCCCCCTCAGGGCAAAATCTATCGGCCTCTTTTTCCAAACGTCACATCCACACAAACAGACTCATGAGAATTGCCTTATGCAACTTTTTATGTTCCATTAATATATGCATAAAGGAATAACTCAAGTGACGAAAAGGTCAGTCAACTCTTTTCATCTATATGACATTAGTGTAAACACAGGATGTTGATCCAATAATGCAATAACACTATTCTCCCTCCCTGTTTAACCCTTAAAAGTGCAGGAACATAAAATAATTACATTTAAAATTAAACATAGAATTAGTTTTCTGATATTTCCTGCGTATAGGACTAAAATCTTTTATGTTGTTCTTCGAAATATTGTTTTTATTTTCAATTTTATAATATGAAAATAACATGTAAAGATATCAACATTTTGCCATGTTACTTTCAGATCAATATTGTATTTTTTTTTATTTTATTGCATATATTAGTCACGTGGCCCGAGAATTTGCAGAAACCTCCTTTCAACATTTTAATGCAAATCTTTACTTATCCCCTAGTATACAGAAACCATTTAAGGGTTAATATCTGTGTACGAGCTACAACATTTTTGAGCACCTTAGGCGTGTGCAACATTTTTGGGCAACATAGGTGCAGTATGAGACAGCTGAAAAATATTGCTGCACGCAAAATGCTGTCTAGACAGGCAGCTCAATAGATTTTGAAACACAACCCACTGACTCGTGTTCCTTATAAACAAATCTTGCAATTATTAAACCTACAGTAAATGCATGCAGAGTAAACACTGAGACAAAAACGTAAACAGGTTAACGAAATCTCGTGTTTACTCGAGTAAATTTGAGTAAACGACAAAATGGGCGATGCTGAGAGAATGAATTATTTCGAACTCATCATCACGAACGTGACTGAGACCGTCGTAAAACATATTTCCTTTTACCGGAGAAAAACTACGCAAATGATAAATGGACATTTTGCAAATTAATAATTGCAGTATTACCAGTATGATGTCCCGGTCCATGTAAAGTGTCGGTAAAATCCAGTGTTCAGTGCTGATGGTTGTTGAGGATGCTGTGCATAGTGTCTGTGGTCCCTCCTCTCTAGTCTACGAGCGCCGGTGCCTGCCGTGTGATGATGATGATGATGCGCCGTGCGTCACTCTCATTTATGGTGGAAAAATTTTTCCCCAGTCAGTCATCACAGCTACATGTACTCTGGATATGCGGAATTGCAAATAATGTTATTATTTTAGATGCTGGCCAGACAGCGAAAGTTTTGGTTAAAAAAAACGTTAATAATAATTGGGGGAAAAAGGCATGAATACATTTTAGATCTGTAAAATATTATTTTTGAACTGTAAAATTTAAGTCATGTACAAATTAGAAAATATCTCTTTGAGGAAAGTCAATAGACGTATAATAACTATGTTTATTGCCGTTGGACATAGGCTACCTCTAGTGTCCAGTTTCAGAACTGCAGCGCCATAGCAGTTTCAAACCAGCAATCTCAGACCTGAAATTAAAGTTCATACTACTGCAGAACCATAGAGCCATACATGACCGTTTCAAGCCAGCAATCTCAGACCTGAAGTTAAAGTTCGTACTACTGCAGAACCATAGAGCTATACATGACCGTTTCAAGCCAGCAATCTCAGATCTGAAGTTAGGGTGGAGATTATATTTTAGTATTTGAAGTTAGTTCTGCTGAACCACTGCACCATAGCGGACAACAGTGCCAGGCCAGCAATCTCTGACTGTTTAACCAATCCAGATCTCAGCCAACTATTTTCTTTTTCTGGCTGACCAAATTCAACTTAGCCAAACAGAAGCCTTTTGCTTTTTATTTTCTTTTGATTGGCCAGACTCACTCCAGAGATCAGCTTAATGCCTAATGCTTCTTGACACAAGAATGCAGTCTGCGAGGAAGAAGAAAAAAAAGCCAGAGTTGTTGAATGTAAACCAGATTTGGCCCAGACTCTGTTGCTATCTGTGAAGGACTGAGGAATAGATTAAATTGTTAAATGGATGTGAATGTGACTGCATGGCATTATCCAGTGTCCATTAAATCAATAATTAGGCTATATCGATAATAATATTGGCAATCTCTGACTGTTTAACCAATCCAGATCTCAGCCAACTATTTTCTTTTTCTGGCTGACCAAATTCAACTTAGCCAAACAGAAGCCTTTTGCTTTTTATTTTCTTTTGATTGGCCAGACTCACTCCAGAGATCAGCTTAATGCCTAATGCTTCTTGACACAAGAATGCAGTCTGCGAGGAAGAAGAAAAAAAAGCCAGAGTTGTTGAATGTAAACCAGATTTGGCCCAGACTCTGTTGCTATCTGTGAAGGACTGAGGAATAGATTAAATTGTTAAATGGATGTGAATGTGACCATGAAATCAATAATTAGGCTATATCGATAATAATATTGATAAACATTTTTATTAGGCATACAACATTATGCTCTATAGTCTAGTAGATGATCGTGCTGTGACTACATACTGATTGGAAAAAGTATTGATCCTGTCTTCCTGTTATGTTTTTGACTTGATGGTCTACAGTCCATCCAACAGACTTTTACTTATAGTAGTCAGAGGCTAACTATATTATGACTAAATACATGGTCTGTGAATGTTACTGTTTGTTCCAGTTCAGATCCATAGTTGTCTTTTTCTATGGCCTATTACATTTGAGTGCATATCTGAGTTAATGAAATACAGACTGACCTTTGCCCTTTGTAATAGTAAGAAAATTAAGAAAATTGGTAAATAAAGCATATGAATATTTCAAGTAGGACAACATGAAAATATTAATGTAAATACAGTCCACAGAGAGTTTGTTTGTTTGTTTATTAAACCTCTTCAAGCAGGCGTTATCATTGTTAAACACAAACACAATAAATCCAAGCATCATACATAGATCACATATTTTAAATGTCACAAAACTTGGATAAACTTTAAGAATTCTACATTTGTTTAAGTAAAACTTTATCGTGTGAGAAAAGTTATTCCTATGTTATTCCTATGTATGTCGGCGCTATCATGTATGTCTGCACTATGTCTGTACTTTCTTCTGCACTGGAAGCTCCTGTCGTCAAGTCAAATTCCTTGTGTGTGTAAACATACTTGGTAATAAAACTCTTCTGATTCTGATTCTGAGGAATTTAATCGACGTGAGTTTCACTTCCGCTGCTGTAGGTGTCGCTAGCGTTAATTTTCTTTTTCAACCCAAAACAGAACGAAGAACAACACGAGCTTGTCAACAAGAGCTATCTGTCAAAGCAGCAGAAATGTCAACAGATCGCCCTCATCTAAACTATAAAAACGTTTCATAATCGTTTCATAAAAGGTTCATAATCAGTGTGAACTTTTCCCGGTGGTAAGTTTTGTGCAAACTGAAAAGCTCAGGTGGTTTACCGCGTAGAGTTCGCTAACTAGAAAACACAAATCTCTTACAGCAAATTGTAAACGACTGTTCTTTTTATTACTGGTCTTTGATATTTATTCAAAGTGCTTAGGCCACAAATATATCAGTTGGACGCGTACTGTCCTGCATTAGCGTGTTTAAAACGATGAGACCTTTGTAGTGTTGTAAAATAGGAGAAGATGCTCTCATGTTGTGAATTTTAGGCGTGGTTAATGTAGTTAATATTGGCTTTTGCGTGTGTTCACTATTTAGTTCACTAGACTAGACTATACAGACGTTTGGATGCGATTGATACTTTTAGTGTCAATGCGGAGTGGACGCGTTGTGTTAGAAAGATCAATGACTAGCTGTATTTTTGACTGTTCACGTGATTAAGTTAAGCAATAAAAGAATAAAGCTTCATAATAACTTTTATATTATGATCAGAAACATTAACTTTTATAATCTTGTACTTGGAAATGGACTTTTGAAATTGCCACCTAGATTTCATCATCAGTGGAAGCACAGATCCATAGGGTGACCATGGCCACCCATCCAGCACCACTGCCCTTGAGGGAGTTCTGCCCCCTCTACTACCTTCTCAATGCCATCCCTGCTAAAGTCCAGAAAGGTTTCCGTTCGGTCCTGGTCTACTTGACTGCACTGGACAGCAATAGTGATTATATAGCCATTGGTTGCAGCATCGGCATGCTGTACCTTTACTGCAGGAGAGTAAGCCAAATGAACAAATACAATTTAGAGGTAAGTCTGCTTAGTGCTTCCTCACTCTTCGGCAGCACTCACTGTTGATCTCATCTGGTTAGGTAGTGTTTTATACAATATATCTTTTATAATCTGTTTTAATAGGGCAAATGTGAGGCCATTACTGCAGTGAAGTTGCTGAGTTGTTTCGATGATCTTGTGGCTGTCGGGACGGCATCGGGCCGGGTTGCTTTCTTTCAGCTTGTGTCACCATTGCCTGGTAGAAATAAACAGGTACAGATTCATCTCTGATTACAGTTTTCAAGTAGCAAGAGTTTCATTAAATAAGTGATTAGGTTTCATTTAACTCAGTGATTATTCACACTATATTGGAATAACAATGACTATTTAATACAACATTTTTACTTTCCATCTGTGTAATTAGAAGATAAAAATTAAGCATTTATTTTATTTAGCTTTTAACATTATTTAAGGTTTGTGTATGTCCAAAGTAGCCATTTTTTGTGTCCCTACAAGGAAAAAAAAAGCATAAAGACACATTTATCTAATTGATAATCTGATTATTGATGAATAAATCTTATTAGTCAGTGGACCATGGTGTCACATTTTTTGTTGTCCTATTACAGCTGAGAAGGTTTGATGTTGTGGGCTTGCACAAAAGCACAATTACTGCATTAGCATGGAGTGCTAATGGCATGAAGCTCTTCTCTGGTGATGATAAAGGGAGGGTGGTCTATTCTGCTGTGGACTTGGATCAAGTAAGACTTTTATAAGTAGTCAGTTGAGTGTATTTCAGATATTTGCAGTTAGATGGACAGTATAGTTCTGTCTGTCTGTCTGAAATCTGATTTTGTTTGACTGTCTAATGGCTGAATATATGTGTGTGTGTGTGTGTGTGTGTGTGCGCGCATTGGTCTTTTAGGGAGTGTGTAATCCAGTGGTCCTCTTTGAAGAGCCTTCAGCTATAGTTCAGTTGGAATATAGTCAGAAAGTACTTTTGGTTTCTTCCCATCAGCGCTCAATGCTCTTCTACACGCAAGAGCAGTCACATCATCAGCTGGGCACTAAACCACGTAAAAGGTACAAAACCCTCAGTCCATCTTCTCCTAAAAGTATGTCTATTATTGTCAGGATTGCAGCACTGAGTGTATGCTGAATTCTTGATATCTGGCTTTATTTTTACAGCAATGGCAAGTTTGGTGCCTGCTTCCAACCAGCTCTGTGCAAACAGAGCGATCTGGTGGTTTATGCAGCCAGGCCAGGGTTGCGTCTGTGGAGGACGGATGTGCGGGGACGTGTCGGGGAGACCCACGTCTTAAAGCCACTTTTTAATCAGGATATACCTCAGTTTGAGCTGTTCCCTCGTTCAGGCCCCAACACTGGCTACAGACCTTCAGAAAGACAGTTGGGAATGGTCAGCTGCTTCTTGAAGGAGGGCTGGGTCCTCAGCTGGAATGAATATAGTGTTTATGTTGTGGACTGTACCAATCAAGTAAGAATGCAGTCCTTGAATCTAAATTATATATTTAATTGAAATGTTGCCAATGCAATCTTAATTTGTGTTGTTTTTCTCACTTATTTCATTTGCTCATTAAGGTCATCATTGGAGGATTGGAAAGCAGTGGAGATATTGTGTCTGTGTCATGCACTGAGAATGAAATCTTCATTCTGAAAGGAGATCGGGACATTTTGCGGATCTCAAATTGCCCTGAGGGATTGGTTTCCAACTGTGAGTTGCAGTACTGATGTCGTAATGGCAGTTTTAGTCATGCACTTTGCTCCATCAGCAGTACTCAGATATTAAGGGATTGGAAAAAGCCTCTTTTGCCCTCGGCAGTTTAAAAATTGCAGTGTTTACTTAGTCATCCTTTTGGGTCAATTGGTATGAAATGATGAATAGTAGCTTCATGAGTTATGGTTGTTGATGTGTCCCCCTTCCTCTCAACAAAAAGATGATATTTAAATTCTTAGCAGATCG